ATCCAAAAACAGTTTTCTGTGCATGTATTGATGTGCATCAAGGTACATATTTTAGGTATAATTCTACACTCTCCTTTTCTTTAGAAAACGTTAATGTTAATGATGTGTATAAGTCCATTTTTTTCCTTTTAACGTCTCTGAGGTTTTCCATCATGTGATCATACCACATACATTTATCCACACCCCCAATTAATGGTCATCTTATTTGTTTCTGGCCTCATGATACCCACTTATTTTGTATATGCATTTCCTAGAGCCATTCCACTTCCTGGTTATTTGCACTTAATGTATTTGGCCTTGAACCTATCTGACTTCAAACTCCACTCAAACATTCCTAACTCAAAATACAGCAGATTCTAATTGCCAATTTATAGGATATACAAGAGACTGAGAAACACATCAAACCACACCAAAAGGATGTAATCAGCAAAATCCTGCAAAGAAACCTTACAGGATAAAATGCTTCCTTCAACAAAAATTGCAAGGGGTGAAAGAGAGAGATATGAAAGGGAAATCTGTAGTTTAAAAAAAAAAAGACTGTGCTTCAAAGGATACCATCAGGAAAGGGAATAAACAACCCATAAAAGGGGGGGAAATGTTTATAAACAACATATCTGATAAAGGACCTATATCCAGATTATACAGAATTCTTATAGCTCAACAGAAAGGAAAACAACCTATTAAAAATGGACAAAGACTCTCACCAGACATTTCTCCAAAGAAGATATACAAGTGGCCAATAAGCACATGAAGCAATGTTCAACACCATTAGTCATTAGGGAACTGCAAATCAAAACCACAAAGAGACACCACTTCACAGCCGCTACAATGGCAGACTGTGCAGAAACCAGAACCTTCACGCAGTGCTGGTGGGAAAGGAGAACGGTGCAGCCACCTTGGAAAAGTCTGACAGTTCCACTAGAATGGCAGACTGTGCAGAAACCAGAACCTTCTTCACGCAGTGCTGGTGGGAAAGAAGAACGGTGCAGCCACCTTGGAAAAGTCTGACAGTTCCTCAAATGGACCCAGTAGTTCCACTCTTAGGTGTACACCCAAGGAAAATGAAAACATATCCCCACACAAAACCTTGTACGCGAGTGTTCACTGCAGCATTATTCAAAATGTCCATCAACTCATGAAGGAATAAGCAAAATGTGGCATATCCAAGGCCTGGGTGCAAGAGCAGCACCCACTGAGTGGGGAGCAGGCGATGATTTTGCTGGAGGATCTGGAGAAAGAGCTCAATGAACTACAACATGAAATGGCAGCCTGCAGACACAGACACTGACACCCGGCGTGGTGGCTCAATGGTTGGGTGTGGACCTATGAACAAGGAGGTCACGGTTCGATTCTCCAGTTCAATTCGCCATCAGGGCACATGCCCGGGTTGTGGGCTCAATCCCCAATAGGGGGCGTGAAGGAGGCAGCCAATCATGATTCTCTCTCATCACTGATGTTTCAGTCTCTCTCTCCCTCTCCCTTCCTCTGTGAAATCAATAAAAATATATTTAATAAAAAGAAGAGAAACAGTGGCTCCAGGGGAGCAGGCATCACTGAGCCTTCAGTCCCTGCCTGGGGAGCCCCAGCTCACATGGGAGCCAGGCTCAGGAGTCCCGCCCTGTTGGAGAGACAGATAGACTGACCAGGACTAAGGAAGGAGAGTGGTGCGAAGGAAACAGTCCTGAGATAGTGGAGCGACATAGGAAAATGTTTTATGGAGAGAGCTGGGAGGTGTCACACCAGGATGCCCAGCATGGAGAAGCTGGTGAGCATAAGGCTCTGATAGAAGGGCCCTGGGGAAACCCCGTAGGAGAAAGACAACACGAATGTGATGAATGTGGGAAGAGCTTCGCTCAGAGCTCAGGTCTCATTCAACATCAAAGAAGTCACACTGGAGAAAGACCCTGTGAAGGTAACGAGTGTGGGAAAACCTTCTGGCAGAGTGCTGGCCTTTTTAATCACCAAGGAATCGGACCACTGTGAGGAGCATGGGAAGGCCTTCAGTCAGAGTGCCAGCCTCATCCAGGACCAGAGGACCCACAGGGGAGAGAAGCCTCATCAGTGCAGCCAATGCTGGAAGAGTTACAGTCGGTGCTCCTCACTCCTTTCGCATGGAGCACCAGAGAAGCCCTACGGGGAGCAGCCTCCCCAGTGCAGTAAATGTGGAAAAGCCTTCATCGACACTATAACCTCATGTGCCATCAGGAGATTCACAGCGTGGTCAAGCTAGTCTAATCCTTGCTATGTGCAAGTTTTCCAGTTCGCTGGCCACATCCTGTGGAGCAGGTGAAGACTGGGAAATGCTTTTCTTCCGGTCTCCGCTCAAGGTGTTTTGGAACAAATACTGACCTGTGGTACGGACACACCCTAAGAGGAAACTTAACAGGTTTTTTAAGCTATTGCTTTCCCTTCGGTTTCTTTACCTCTTCCTGGTTACTAGTCCATCCTCTTATTTATTCTCTTTCAGATGGCTCTAAACCAGTGGTTCTCAACCTTCCTAATGCCATGACCCTTTAATACAGTTCCTCATGTTGTGGTGACCCCCAATTTCATTGTTACAAATTGAACATAATTAAAGCATAGTGATTAATCACAAAAACAATATGTAATTATATGTGTTTTCCGATGGTCTTAGGCGACCCCTGTGAAAGGGTCGTTTGACACCCAAAGGGGTCGCGACCCACAGGTTGACAACCGCTGCTCTAAACCTTCCTAACAATGTAATAAGCCGTGCCGCTCTCGCCAACAGGCTTGAAAGCTCTGTACATACCTGGATTTAAGACCTAAAGTCCACAAAGAGCTCTGCTGCTGTTTTATGTGACCCACACTTGCATGGGACATCTCCGCCTTACTGCTTCCCTCTGACACCTACATGACACTCCATTTTAAATGCTGGGTGTGTAAATTTTGGCAAGTTATTCACCTTTCAATGCTCCAGTTTTATCATTTGTAAATGATGGATTACAATATAACTACCTCATAATGTTTTTGAAAGGATTTAAAAATGTAATCCAGATGAAGCTTAGTGCCTGACAGACTAAGCACTCAATAAATATTCACTATTTGTATTATAACTGTTGACCCCGAGAAGGAATATACCTGCCAAAAAGGACTTCCTAGCAATTAATTGGGTCCAAATTCAGAACCAGAGTCTAGCAGCCGTTACTGACAGAGGCCATACATGTGTCTTGCATCTCAGGGAAAAGCCACAGACTGAGGGGCCAGCCTCCTGCACTGTGTGTCTGTCAGCAGAGCTGGACTTATAAAGGAGTTCCTGGGATGGTACTTTGGCCAATGGGCCGAAACCTGCCCCATCCAATTAGAGCTGAACAGCTATAGCCTTATTTGCACCTTTACTGACCAATCAATCAGTAGATCCGTAACAACCAACCAGGATGTGCAATTCCGACTTATTAGGACAGTGCTATTTGGACCAATTAAACTGCAAATTTGGATTTCTCATTTGCATAAAAATGGACCAATCAGTGACCACTGTGGGCATTTTATATAAGTGGGCCTCCCCTTTGTCTCAGTGGAATGCACCTTCAGTTTCTGCCCATGGCTGCACTTCTCTGGTTTGCAAACTATTCATCTGAATAGTCTCTCCTTTTAATGCACACACAAAAAATTGCCATATCCATATAATGGAATATTATTCAGCCACAAAAAGAAATGAAGTACAGATATTATGCTACATTATGAACCTTGAAAACATACTTCATGCAAACAGCCAGACACAAAAGGCCACATGTTGTATGATTAATTTATATGAAATATTCAGAATAGGAAGTCCAGAGAGAGAGAGAGAAAATAGATTAGTGATTGCCTGGGGCTTAAGGGAGGGAGAATGAGGAATGGCTGCTAATGGGTACAGGGTTTTTTTTGGGAGTAATGAAAATGTTCTAAAATTGATTATGATGATGTTTGCAGAACTCTGTGAATATACTGAACACTAAAAAAATAACAAACTTAAACATTAGAGAGAGCCCTAACCGGTTTGGCTCAGTGGATAGAGCATCAGCCTGCAGACTGGGGAGTCCCAGGTTCGATTCCGGTCAAGGGCATGTACCTTGGTTGCGGCACATCCCCAGTAGTAGGTGTGCAGGAGGCAGCTGATCGATGTTTCTCTCTCATCGATGTTTCAAACTCTCTATCCCTCTCCTTTCCTCTCTGTAAAAAATCAATAAAATATATATTTTTTAAAAAATTAGAGAGAGACCTAAGATTTACAAGACAAACCAATTTTCATTGTTTAAACCTTATTTAGATCCTGGGTTTTAAAAAATATTTAATATAATTCTATAAAATAGAATTACAAAGCAAGTATGGAAATTTGAACATTGAGTATCTGATATTAATACTAATTCTCATAGATATGGAAATGGAATTGTGTTTTTAAAGGAGTACCTGTATTTTTTTGGATTTTTCTTAATATATTTTTATTGATTTCAGACAGAGAAGGAGAGGGAGAGAGAGATAAAAACATCAATGATGAGAATCACTGATCAGCTGCCTCCTGCTGGGGATCGAGCCCACAACCCAGGCATGTGCCCTTGCCGGAATCGAACCTGGGACCCTTCAATCTGCAGGCCGATGCTCTATCCACTGAGCAAAACCAGCTAAGGCGGAGTACCTGTATTTTAGAGATACATATTAAAATACTTACTGGTGAAATGATACAATTTGTAGGATTTGCTTCAAAACAAACTAGGGAGAGAGGTAGAAAGTAAATAGGTGAAGTGGTCATGAGTTGATAATTGCTCATTAAACTATTCTGCCCACTTCCCTGATGTTTGAAAATTTCTATTAATAAAAAGAACAGAAGAAAGAAAATATTTCCATGTCATGTTATTTTGTTGTGTGCCAATTATCAATCCCACAGTTGGGAAAACCCTCTTTCAGCTGTAGTCTCAAGAAATGATTGATGGAAACCTGTATATGTATTATTTACAATTTGAGGAAATAGTTTTACTTTAAAAAAAAGAAACGATTGAAAGTACCTTGGACTTCCCCTGCCATCCTCAGCAACCACTTTTTCTGCCTCAATTACAATCTTTCCAAAAGAAGGCTTTCATTCTTAATGCTTTTTCCTTTAAAAAAAAAAAAAAAAAACATTTGTTGGTTTCCTTTTGTTTGGCCTTAGACCTAATTATTTTTTAATTACATTTTAAAACTGATCTTTGATATTAAGTTGCTCCTTAAAAGATACATTGATTCATTTCCCCTGGCCGGTCAATTTCACTTACTCCTCTGAGAAAGGCAGAACTGTGAGCCTGAGACAGAGCCTCCTTGGTCACAATAAAAGGAAGAGCTTTTTAGGGCCCAGAACTGGGCCACAAAGCAACCCCACTTGAGCCCCATGTCCTTATGGAAACAACAATAACAGCTCTAATTTCCTGACTACATACCATGGAGAGGCATAGTACCAATCATGTCACCTGAGTAATGTTATTTGGTCATTGCAACAAGCCTAGAGACAGGTACCATTATGTATCCCCATTTTGCTAGGACTTCCAGAATGATCAAGCAACTTACTCTATTTAAACCACACAGCTTTATGTGGCAGGACCAGGATTTCAGCCCAGGCTGTCTAGTTCCAGGGCCTGCACTTACTCCAGACTATATTACCTCCTGGGTGGACACCAGCTCATCACATCTGTGTTGTGGTATTACTAATGTTCAAGGACCAGAAAGTTTAATTAAACCAAAATTCATTCACTCTGGACCCAGAAAATGGACTGTCTCCCAGAAAATCCTCCCCTCCCCCCCCCCATCCCCAGTTCCCTCATTAGGACCATCAATTTCACAAATCTTACTCTTGAATTAACAAAAACAAAAGCACCTAACTTGGAAAACAATCCACAGAGCTCATTTAAAAGTTAAAAATGAAAAGAGATATATTGCCTTAGCCTTGCCCACTCTTGACCTCCAGAAAATGCCTGGGTGAAGGGGCTAGCGCTAGGGCTGGACTTTTCAGTGAAGAGAAACCAGGCAGAAGGAGGGTAGGCGCGTCCTCCTAAGTGAATCCAGATCCCAGTCAGGGTGAGCTGAGAGACTTCCCAGAGCCACTCCCATCTCCACATGCAACACCCAGGAATGACTTAGCACCAAAACAATAACAGAGGAAACGACTGAGAATCCCCGGCCAAGTCTCAGGACTAAACTTCAGAAACACTGAGGACTATCTCCCAGGAAACTGCCTCCCCCTCTCAACCTCCCCACCAGCCTTCTCCTCTTGTAGGAGGGAGAGGGGTGGACTGGGCAGGGCAAGCAATGGTCCCCCGACGAGCTCAACATTGCACAAGGGACGGCTTGCAGGACAGGGCAAGGGAGATCTCAAATGATCTAAGAAAATGAAAGGGCTGGAGTATTAAAAAAAAAAAAAAAGGTAAGAACCAAGGACCAAAGCGGGAAACAAAGTAACTGGGAACAGCTGGTGACTGGAACAGCAAAGCACCGGGGGCAGAGGAATAAGAGGGGCCGGGAAAACAAAGAGGCTGGAGAATTCCCAGTCCTCTGCGGACCTGGAGCTTCGGGGACACGGGGTGCAGGGGTCAGCAAACTACGTGTTTGGAGAGGACGCTCAGCCTGTGCGGAGGCTGGAGAGGCTGGAGACCGAGGGCCTGAGTGCGCGGATGACTGGGGCGCAGGGGGAGCCTGAGCTGGGACTGGGACTCAGGAAGTCTACGAGTGAGTTGGAGCTGAGACACAGGAGGTCTGAGAACTGGGGTCCGGTAACTGGGCACAGGGTCGGAGGGCTGGGAAGGGCTGGCGGACGGGGGTACAGGTGTCGGAGGGCTGCTTTTAAGTGATGGTCAAGGAGTCAGGGGACTAGGAGTGCCTGGGCGCGGGACGCCCGAGAACTGCAGGTGACCAGGGCAAGAAACGGGTTGGTTACACGGGGTCAGGAAACCGGGAGCGCTGGGACGGGGGTCTGGGAGCGGGACGCGGGGACGAGGGGCGAAGTGTGCAGCTGAAGCGGCGG